ATCCTTGTTTGGTGGCTGTCGCGTGGGCCAGTGACGGTGCCGAGGCTTTTGGACACCGCGGAGGTGGTACGTCACCGTGTCAGAGAGGAGGACGCGCACGTCCGTCGCTACATGATTGCGTTGGAGGGCAGGTTCGACAATACCTGGCAGGTTCTTCATGGATCTCACTGGAGCTATGATCCTGTGATGTTTCCTTATCTTTGGGTGTCCACCGCCCGCGACGATACCCGTCAGGCGCTACGGTTCTAGCTGTATTAGCGATGCTATATGTATGATAGTATTCGAGGAGTATTGGTGATAATATTCGATGATGTACGGACACAAGAGATGATGTACTTTTGGTTATAATTGAATGCATGCTAATTTGAATACTACTTTATTTTATGATTTGGTTTTCCTTATTGAATGCTCATATTTGAAAAGTACTCCTACTTTGAATGCTAAAATTGAAGAGCACTCTATGCAGAAATCTAGGAGCCCCCTCCATCATCCACGCCGTCGTGGGGGTAGCTTCTCCTTAATTCCCGTGTGCTAGACAATTTGGTGTAATAATGCACGCGGAAATGAAAGGAGGAGCTACCATCATCGATAGTCAACCCGTGATTAATAATAATGATCTAATTTAGGTTTTTTAGTACACATATTTAATTGTACAAGTTTAATATTTGAATTATGAACATAGGCCGGAAATGTCATACTCGAACGACGAATACCGCCCGGGGGAGTCCGGCTGGTGCCACGACGACCGAGGTATGTGCGACAGGTTCCTTGAGTTGGACGAAGATCGGCGCTTCAGCATTAAGCTCAAGGAGACCTTCAATCTTCATACGGTACGCAACGATGACAATAGTTTTTTTCGTAATTAAGCATGACTTCAACTATTTTAACGTGTATTTTTCATCTTTTTCCAATTCTATTAGCTTATCCCATGCTATGCAAGACGCTATGTCTTGGAGAGGATGAGTTTTGAAGACCATGAAAGTATGGAAACCAAAAAAATTCATCTAAGGACCCATCATGATGTGGATTTTGAAGTAAAGTTGTACAATGCTGAGAGTGTAACCCATTTTGGTTGCAAAAATTGGGAAGCACTTTGCAAGATGTATGGTTTTGATGAGGGTATGCTTGTCACCATGGATCTTGGTGATCCTACAATCTAGCAAGACAATATGGACATTTGGGTCCTTATGAATACACTTTCAATTATTCCCCCATGTGAGCTTCTCAAACATAGTTATTAAGTAATTTATATTGTTTATTTCAAAATAGTTGACAGCTTATTTTCATTCTTCAAAGAATGTGCGGAAGATGGTAGACAAAACCCACTACACTGATGGCTCTGAATTAACTTATAAGGAGAAAAATCATCTGATCGCATTTTGCACTGATCTTGAGAATTACAATATCTACAATCGAACTCCTCAACATTATGGTCAATACGTGCCACTAGTGCACGTGTTGAACTACTGTAACTACCATGGAGATACCCTGGTAAGATTTTTTACTATTACGACATCCGTGCATCTTTTTGCATACTTCTAAAACTAGTACATCATTGCTAACTACGAAGTTATTACTATGTTTTTCAACAGATAATCCCGAATGATTGTGTGCCTCATCTGATGTATACACACGGTCGCCTTGATGTTTTGAACATACAATCAGGTCGTCCTACGAATCTCAACTGTCCATACCGGATTTCTAAAAGAAGTGGAGACATGACAATCAAAGAATGGAAAAAAAAATGTATGGACAATCGTAAGGAGCTTGTTGGAAGCAAAAGGAAGCGAAGCACAAGAATTGGAGACAGGATGATCTCCATTCTTCATAATGGAGAGTCAGGGTCTATATTGTTTTATGCTATTTTACCTTAAGGGTGTTTAGGTCCTACCTGATACTGATGATCATGTGCTAAGAACAATTATGTAGGGTTGGGTTTGATGACTATGAGGATGATGATCGTATGACTTGTTATTAATAACGAGTAGAAGTTGTATGATGATGCATGATTAGTAGGACTTGTTATTATATATGATGATGATGCGAGCATGAGTTATTATATATCACCAGGTGAAATGAACATACCAGTAACGTTGGTAAACCAAGGACGAAGATATAAGAGAGGACACTTCTCTCTATTAGCTAGCTAATAACAACCTAAATTAACCCCCAAAACCCCTAAACCAGCCACTTTTTTTAAAAAAAAATAGAAAAACCTCAGCTCCAGCCAGCTGCTGACGCGTGGAAGCCTTTTGGTCCCGGTTCATGTCACCAACCGGGACCAAAGGCCCCCTTGCCTGGGGTGCCCGCAGTGGCCATGTGGAGGCCCATCTGTCCCGGTTCATGTAAGAACCGGGACTAAAGGGGGAAGGCATTAGTACCGACCTTTTTGTCCCGGTTCTTAAATCGGGACAAAAGGCCCTTACGAACCGGGACAAATGCCCTGTTTTCTACTAGTGGTTGTTAGCATCTGCATTGAGGAATTTTGCTTTGCAGTATGTTGTAGTTGTATTTTGATGTGGTTTATGGGCTTGTGTTTCCTTTTTATCCATCCAGTTCCTATTCCATTTAAATCCTTTGAAGTATTATGTACTGAGATGTGTATTTTAAGATTTTTGAAGTTATGAACATTTTTTTGGAACCACATTGTAAAATTAATAAATGTTGCTTCACTATGTTATTTTTGTTTTGTAGAGTGGTAGTATTCAGATCGATAACAACGGTAAAATTTGTAAAGTGGTCTATTCATATGTTACTTAAGTTGGAATTAAGTGCTGATATTAACAAATTACCTTTATGAAAGTCCTTAATTTTTTTCATCTAATCTCTACATGTTCTCAATTATCTTTTACACATACAAATACGGGAACGTACACAACATAGGTTCCGTTACAAAATTATTACTTTTCCATCTCAATTTTTTTACAACGTATGTGTTGTTGCGGAATGACTTCTACAACACATATGATGTTGCAGAAACTTTTTTCGTCTCAACTTTTTTGAAACATGGGTGTTGTTGCGGAACGACTTCTGCAACACATATGATGTTGCAGATTTTTTTCTGTCTTAACTTTTTTGGAACATGGGTGTTGTTGCGAAAGGACTTCTGGAATAAAGATGATGTTGCAGAAAAATTGTTAAGGTGGCAGAGGCACGCGCTGCGCGAGGACTGAGTCATGTGGTGCCACGGATCAGGTGTTTTGCAACACCTATTATGTTGCCTAAGATGTACGGTGTGCACCATCCGATGGAACTTGGGTCTGGCGGCTGCATGAGTGGCAGAACACTACGTGTGATGGGCCGGCTGATGCTATTCATGGCCATCTTTTGAAGCATCTATATCCAACCTGTTCTGATTTACTATGCTTGCCATCTTGATGCCTTTTCTCTTTTTGTTGCAGATGATCGACTAGATGCATCGTTGCCCCAGTTCATCTCTTTGCCTGGGCTTAGCTAATGATAATGACTATATTCGTCTCTCCCACCGTGTATTCCTACGCTGGCCGTGCATAAAAGGGAGAAATAACTGAGAAATAGATCATGTATAGATAAGCGGCATGGCAAGGTGCGCGACCGCTTTAGTAAATACACCGTGCCCCCTACTTTTGGAGCTCTTTCATTGAATTGAATTGTCCATTTTTGGATCTGGTTCATGATTTTGATTGAGGTTCTTTTGAATTTGGTTCATGATTTTTATTCAATTGAGGTATTCAATTTCGGATCTTGTTCACAATTTTGACTAGGTCAACTATTTCGGTTGAAGTTTCTAATTTTGAATCTGGTTCATGATTTTGGTGGAGTAATGATTTCTGAAGTCAATCGGCAATAACCAACCTACAAAGAGACATGACTCCCATGCACCCTCTCATCACCTGGCAAAAAAGAATTGTCAACATGCGACACCGTATCATCAATATAGTACATGCGTTCGCGAGCACAACAAACTTTCCCAAATGAATATAGATTGAGTAGTAGAGAACACGTAATCACACCTCTAGGAAGGGTCCACCAAAACGCACTATCAAAAAGGAAACATATACAATCATCTCCCTAATGCACCAAACGATATAAATTTTTGTTGAAATCCTGACAACCCAAACAGCGCAGCAAAGCACACACAACCCTTCTAGTACTTAGTTGTATGTCGGGTTGCCCCGTTTAGTTGGACTTCATCCTTACTCAACTGTATGCAGAAATTTCAGCAGTTGTAGTGTAAGTCTTATAAACCAGATGGAGAAAGTACTTATGTATATCTGTTTTTGTTTAACAAAGTATATATGTATATCTGTTATTCTGTTAGTGTCAAAATTTGCAGTTACCTGTCCCATTTCCTATTGCTCACCACTTTGGCGTTTGCTTGTAACAGTAAAAGTAATATAGGAGTACTTAGTCGATACATAATGATAGGTGATTGACCGAGAATCAGTCGCCAGCTGGGTACTCATGCGAAAAGACCAAACATGAAGGAACGGCCCGCACCTGACTTGGTCCTCGCCGGCGGCGAGGCAAGTTTAGTATATGTGCGCCCTGCATGCCGGGAGGGTGAGAATGACACGTCAAAGCACCGGGAGTAGACACCGAATAACATATCAGCAGCAACCGACGCAAGTCCCTGACTGGCCTGGCCTGCATGGAATATTCCGTCACACAAGGCCCATGCATGCTGGAGTATTATATATATACTCCGATGTGCTGGTTCAACTTTGCACTTTCCCTTCTCGACGACGGTTGAAAACGAATTGTCACCGTCAACAGACCAGTTCCTCGGCCTCATCAATCCTTTCAATAATTTTGCCTTGAATCTTTCAACACAACTGGCTAGCTGCACACTTGTAGTACGTACGTACTTGTGCCGCCTGCATATATACACACATAGGCACTTCAGAGTTGAGACCAAGCACCGGAAGCTAGCTAGCGTTGCATTAACAGTTTAACACACGGTCACACACTGCTACCACAGCCACGAACCTCAGGGTGATCACCGAAGCAAGCAGGCGAAGATGGTGCACGCCGCGACGTCCGAGCGCTTCAGCAGCGTGTTCGCCTCATTCGACCGCGACGCCGACGGCAGGATCTCGGCGGCTGAGCTGCGGCTGTGCATGAAGGCGGCGCTGCGCGAGGACGTGTCGGCGGAGGACGCAGAGGCGCTCGTGGCGTTGGCCGACACCGACGGAGACCGGCTGCTGGACGAGCAGGAGTTCCTCCGGTTGGTGGCGCGGCCGGAGACGGAGGAGGAGGAGGAGCGGTGCCGGGGGCTGAGGGAGGCGTTCACGATGTACGAAGTGAAGGGCGAAGGGTGCATCACGCCGGCGAGCCTGATGCGGATGCTCGCCAGGCTGGGGTCCGAGCAGGGCATCGAGGAGTGCCGCGCCATGATCCGCAGGTTTGATCTGAATGGAGACGGAGTCGTTTGCTTCGACGAGTTCAAGGTGATGATGGATGCGTAGCAGCTTTTTGTCCATCGGCCAGTCTACTGAATACTGATCCTGATACTTGGCTACAATTTTAACCCGTACACAGTTTAATAGGTACTTAATCTTTTTTGCCAGAGAATATTGAACAGATTCATCTAATACTTGGCACTATATATGTTGGCTTGCTCCGTTTGGTTGGAGTAGTAGTGGCATGGAGAGGAGAAGTTCAGGACCATTGTTCACCGGAACCTATGCTCAGTAACGTCAGATGTTGTATAGCTTCCATGTGGATTCGGGCCTGGTTACCGTTCAAATTTCTAATAATCTACTACTGTCTACCTTAATCCCTATCCCCGGCTAGTTGCTTGTAGGTCTGACGGGTCCGAGTTTTTTTAACAAAATGAACTGGCGCGGCTTCCTATATATGTTACTGTAGGACAAAAAGAAAATTATTCTGCTCAGGCCTGTCGGCTAGCTGTTCATATTCTCTACTAGCATATCTTCTCCTACCATAACACATTTCCTTATATTACTATTGCAGAAAAGAATTCAAATAGTTATGAGCAATATAAGTACGCTCCCAGATGGGTGAAGTCTTTTCTTGGTCCAAGAAAGAGAATCGAAATTATGTCAGTAGGCTAAACACAATAAAATCTTCTTCACATCGTTCACTCCTTGTATCCAGGGTCAAGCTTCGTTGGAGTAGTTCTTTATTATCTTCTTCATTCTTTATTTTATGTAAAACACTGGGCAAAGGCGAATATCAGTGTGCAGAGGCTTCTGACAAGAATGCAGCTATTTTAAAGTTTTCAGAAAATGTCAGAAAAATTATGTGCGCCCTGCATGCCGGGAGGGTGAGAATGACACGTCAAAGCACCGGGAGTAGACACCGAATAACATCGCAAGTCCCTGACTGGCCTGGCCTGCATGGAATATTCCGTCACAAAAGTCCCATGCATGCTGGAGTATTATATATACTCCGATGTGCTGGTTCAACTTTGCACTTTCCTTTCTCGACGACGGTTGAAAACGAATTGACACCGTCAACGGACCAGTTCCTCGGCCTCTTTCAATAATTTTGCATTGAATCCATCAACACAACTGGCTAGCTGCAAGCTTGTACGTACGTACTTGTGCCGCCTGCATATATACACGCATAGGAACTTGAGAGTTGAGACCAAGCACCGGAAGCTAGCTAGCGTTGCATGCATTAAAACACGGTCACACACTGCTACCACAGCCACGAATCTCAGGTGATCACCGAAGCAAGCAGGCGAAGATGGTGCACGCCGCGACGGCCGAGTGCTTCAGCAGCGTGTTCGCCTCATTCGACCGTGACCCCAACGACAGGATCTCGGCGGCTGAGCTGCGGCTGTGCATGAAGGCGGCGCTGGGCGAGGACGTGTCAGCGGAGGATGCCAAGGCGCTCGTGGCATCGGCCGACGCCAATGGAGACCGGCTGCTGGACGAGCAGGAGTTCCTCCGGCTAGTGGTACGGTCGGAGATGGAGGAGGAGGAGGAGGAGCGGTGCGGGGGCTGAAGGAGGCGTTCGCGATGTACGAGGCCGGCGTGCCTGATGCGAATGCTCGCCAGGCTGGGGTCCGAGCAGGGCATGGAGGAGTGCTGCGCCATGATCCGCAGGTTTGATCTGAATGGAGATGGAGTGGTTTGCTTCGATGAGTTCAAGGTCATGATGGGTGTGTAGCAGTGTTTCCATTGGTCACCGGTATACTGATCCTTTGTATTTACTAGTACTATTTAATATGCCAGAGAAACCAGATTAATTTATTTTTTCTGTGCACCTGCAAACATATTTCACATATTCACCATGTCAAATTGTT